AACATAACATAAACATTAGAAATCCTTTCAATTCTTAAATCGATTGAACTCTGAGTGCATAGTTTCCAAGCAGAGCTTCATTCTAGGCTTATTTTCACAAATTGAACAAAGGTTTGTCACAATTTGGAGCCAAATTTCAGTAGTAGCTCTTCATAATGTTTAATTCATGGCACAGGCAAAATCAATGGGCTCTTTTATAGTGTGCGACGTACACATGTATATATTAATGTGTCTATTAAATTCACAAACATAACATAAACATTGGAAATCATTTTGTTTCTTAAATCTTTGAACTCTGAGTGTATAGTTTCCAAGCTGAGCTCCATTCTAGGCTGATTTTCGCAAATGGAATAAAGGTTTGTCACAATTTGGAGCCAAATTTCGGTAGTAGCTCTTCATAATGTTTAATTCATGGCACAGGCAAAATCAATGGGCTCTTTTATAGTGTTCGAATGTACAGCAGCAAAGATTTCAGGTGATTGATGCGGAGCCGAAATTCCATTAAGCCAGGCGCATGGTTTGGAGCTGCGCGCATGAATAAATAAACAAAAATGCAAATGCTCTTGCAAACACCTTTTTGAAAGAGAGTTTGAAGGTAACCCCAAAGAGTTCAGTCTCGGTTTCGATGTGTGAACACGTCTCATTACTACGTTTCAGCTGCATTTTCTACTCAAAATTCAGGAAATTCGTCCAACTGTGGAAAAAAGGGTCGTGTTTTGTATCTCAGAATAAGATGAAAAATAATTAGAGCTGTGATCTGATAGACCGTGTCTTATTTTTACACTATTTCTTTACTGAAATCAATTAAAAAAATCAAATTGGCTGAGACAACTCTCCAATATAACTTGCCCTTTATTGAACCAATTGACCTGTTGCAATGGAAAGTGTTAACCCTTTAAAGCCTGATCCAAGAATAAAACAAAACAGAAAATGACTTTTTTTTTGTTTGAGTTCCTTATTTGGCCTTTTAACAGAATATGTAAAAAGAATAAACAGAAATACATTTTTAATATTAATAATTTATTACTATGCGATAAGTCAAGATTATTTTTTGTGTAGTCTTCTGCCCCCTGTTATCAGGTGTATCTGATTGTGTACAATAGGATTTTGAGCAAAGTTTTTACCATTAAATTAAGCAAAAGGTGTCAGACACAAAACATTTCAGAAACCATATGCATCAAATATGATACATTTGGCATTACAGGGTTAAAAACAGGAACCTTAGATTGTTCTTAGTTTATTACTTAACAACAATCGCTGTTAAAGAGTCAGAAAAAAAGCACTCAGACTTTCTTAATTCACATAAATGTTGACTTGACTTTAACCTTGAGTTTTCCTCTGTGTCTGAAGGCCTAGACACAATAAAAAATGGGTCTGAAATAGCTTTGTGACCTTTGACCCCGACACCTTGCTCCAAGAAATGTCAGTGCTTGCTGAAACCATCGTTCTTCATCCTTTCACCTTTCCGCTTTGCCCTCAGGACACTTTCTCTATTTGGAAGCGACGCCGGTGGGACTGAAAGGGGACAAGGCTCACATTTGGAGCTCTGTTTGGAGAGAGTCAAGTGCCATCTGCAAGCTGTCCTTCTGGTATTACATTTCCCAAAAGGCCTCTGGAACCATCCGGCTGCTGATCAAGGTAAACCCGTTTGAATTTAGACGTTTAACCCTTTAAAGCCTGATCCGAGAGTAAAAAAAAAACAGAAAATTACTTTTTTTTGGTTTGAAGTCTTTACTTGGCCTTTTAACAAAATATGTAAAAAGAAAAAACAGAAATACATTTTTAATATTACTAATTTATCATTATGCGATAAGTCAAGATTATTTTTAGTGTAGTCTTCTGCCCCCTGTTATCAGGTGTATACAGGATTGTGTACAATAGGATTTTGAGCAAAGTTTTTACCATTAAATTATGCAAAAGGTGTCAGACGCAAAACATTTCAGAAACCGTATGTATCAAACATGATACATTTGGCATTGCAGGGTTAATCGGAAAAGTTGACGATTGGCCAACGATTTTTCTACCAGTGTTCAATCTGTAAGGGATTTTCTGGCAGTGGAGGAGAGCGATGGGGGTCACGGTCACCCCAATTCCCACAGCAGCCCCACCCCACCATCTGGACACAGCCACTCCCGATATCTCCTCAGGCTTCCTGCCGCTCAGGCATCCAGTTTGCAAGAAGTCAAACCCTGCCTCCGGAAATAAGCATGTGATTAACTCATTGACTGCCAGCCATTTTCAGAACAGAGAGTCCCATACTGAGTTTTTTGAGCATTTTGACTGATTTTTCAAGAGCCACAGAATAGTTTGTGCTATGACTATGTAAACACCGAACACACCAAAAGAAAGAGTAGACTCTCTTCTTTCATCAGGAAAAATATATTAGTTTCTACCTTATTCCGTTCTTCCTCGACTTGCGTCTCACCGGCGACATGTTCTCTCATAGCGAACCGTTAGCTTTTTCTTATTTGCCTACAGTCTATGCTCATCTCCCATCAAAAGTGGCACTGCCCCCTAGAGGGTCAATTTGTTACTACATACTCTGTCCAGAAGCCGACATTTAAGGACAAGCTTTAGCAGATCGTCCCCCAGACACTCTCGTTGAAAAACATAAAAGACGTCTATAGACGTCTTTGGCAGCCAATGAGCATCAAACTCAGTCAGTCTAATTCCGGCCAAAGCACAATACGTATGACGGAGCTACTTTGTAGTCGCTGGACCACAGTGTTGAAGAGGTGTTTCTGTACAGCAAAAAGGTCCCTGGTTCGAATCCCATCTGTGTGGGTTGCTCTCCTGGCAAACTTTTCTTCTTTAATCAAGTAGTTTTTTTCCTTCCGTGTTTAACATTAAAGGAGTCATACTATACCCTATTTCAACAAGTTAAGCTAGTTCCCTGGTGTCCTAATGTAATGTCTGTGACAAGCTTTGGTCAAAATCCCATAAGGATGAAGCCCAATAGCAGTTCAGTCCCCCTGCCTAACCCTAACCCTAACCCTAACCCTAACCCAAAACAGCCCCGTTCAGAGCGCTCGCTTTGGAGTGCCTGTCTCTTTAAATGCAAATGAGACACAAACAATCCACCCACTTCTTCCGGGAGGTGTGCCCACGTCGGCACGCTAACGCTACCATGCTAACGCTACCACGCTAACGCTACCACGCTAACGCTACCATGCTAACGCTACCATGCTAACGCTACCACGCTAACGCTACCACGCTAATGCTACCACGCTAACGCTACCATGCAAACGCTCACGCTACCACGGCGTCTGCCACAGATAGGGGAGTAAGCTGAGGGGGGGGGCAACATGCAGGTGAAAGGCTGGAATATTATAATGAGCTAGAGCTAATGACGTCAGAAACTACCCACTCCTGAAACCTCCTGATTTATCTCCTGGATTCAGACTGAGGCAGCCCACAAAAACTTGACTGAGTCTTTTTTTTTTTCACATTTTGCCTGCTGATAGGCCCTCCATAGTCCCACATGTACATGATCAAATGATTAAAAACTTGGTTTTGCATAATATGTCCCCTTTAACAAAAAGAAAAAAAACTGCTCATGTCTCTCTGAGTTCTCCAGCACCTTCCAAAATAAGGCATGCCAGTTTTGATTTTTCGGTCGGGCTTTTTAGGGGCTCTGCTATCGATCATCTGTCAGGAGACGACCGGCGTACGTGGAGCGCTTGGCGGTTGGAAAATGTCAAATGTGACCTTTTTAAGAATGTCAGCGCTCGGTGTTTAATTGAGGCGGCGAATCGTTTGCGTGCAGGAACAGAAAGAGAGGCGGTTCCACAAGTCCTCTTGAAGGATTTTAGACTCCGGGTGCAGCGGGCTGTCTTGTGTTTATGAGAGGCACGCAGAGAAAATCAATATCTCGGTTCAATTCTATGCTCTTAGCTCCCTAGAACATATATCTCGTTAGCCCGATTCTTTAGCTGGAAGCCTGGGAATAAACCAGAGCAGATCAAGAGTACAAATATGACATTTATTGGTCACAAGCAAAGTAAATCAGCAGGGTTCTCACAGACAAAAGCTCTCGGAGGATCTCAGTTAGCAAAGATCCCCGATTTCCGGGTGTGATGGACAGTTTTCCTCTGGGCCTCCAACAGGAGGACGGCTGGACGTAACCGAGTGTTATTGGCCAGTTAGCCCTATAATGCCAAATGTATCATATTTGATGCATACGGTTTCTGAAACACCTTTTGCTTAATTTAATGGTAAAAACTTTGCTCAAAATCCTATTGTACACAATCAGATACACCTGATAACAGGGGGCAGAAGACTACACAAAATATAATCTTGACTTATCGCATAGTAATAAATTATTAATATTAAAAATGTATTTCTGTTTTGTCTTTTTACATATTTTGTTAAAAGGCCAGTAAAGACTTCAAACCAAAGAAAGGTAATTTTCTGTGTTGTTCTATTCTTGGATCAGGCTTTAAAGGGCTAACTCTGACATGAACGGGCCAGGTCCTAATTCATGCAGGTTTTGGTGGAATGTGATAAGAAAGTGTGTTAATGTTGACCTTAAAGATGTCTATCTACTGTAACCAAGAGAGGAAGAGGAACCAGAGAGTTTAATCCAAAAGTATAATTCTAAAGGGAATAATAGGAATCTAAAAAATGAATAAGACAATCAGTCATTTACATGAATTAAGTTATAATATACTGTGCTAAAGTGAGTAATTATAGCCCAATTCTAGCAACATGATGGTAGGTGTGTGCATGAACCCTTAAAGAAGGTGACACCGTGCTATCGCCTACAATGTTTTATTAGTGTCATAGCCTTGATGTTGCCCATGAACACAAACAAGCACACACACACACCCCAGCGGGGCTGTAAAATGCCCGCACACACACACTCTGCTAGCAGCCCAGTGCTAGCGCAGCGTGAGCCC